AGGGTTTTCAAAGTGTGGGAAGGTGAGCCTCCCCTCAGAGAACATAAGAACAGCCGCCCCCCCCCTCCCAATTATTACTTATTTATTATTATTGTTGCTATATATAATGCAGGGGTATTCAATTGCATTTCAAAGAGGTCCAGTGAGAAAACGTGTCATTAAATGCTCTGTTTTCGCTGTCTACCTTTCTCTTTTTTGAGCACGCCATTTTGAAATGGCTCACTGACTGCACCCATTTGATTGGCTGAGCAGCGTCACCTGCTTAAAACATTAAACAACAACTTTTTTTAACCTTTTTATCTTTATGTTTTAAACATACATTTTCAACATCGTGGATAAATCCTTCTGCTCCCGGAAACGTTGCCTCCTTATTACACTCCCCCCTACTTTAGTGGGAACGATGAGTGCGTCTTTGATGCGCACAGGCGGGTGATGCGGGATCAGAGTATTGCATCGGGCCGGGTACCCGACGGGTGACCTGGTATTATTTCAATCATTTTTCTCCGGGTTCGGTTCTGGGTAAAACAAAGAAGATGCGGGTCGGTTCGCGGCTGTTTTCATAATAAATATATTAAAATGATAATAATTTAGTTTAATGTTTACATCCTCAGACCTCTCCCCCGCGGCACCGCGCATAATCATAAACTCTGCAGCGCATCAATCTGCTGCTGAGCGCCACATTCGAAATGGCTGAGCTGAAGCTCTCTAGCGGAGAATACAGCATCGTAAATAACTCTTCCTCAAGAGCGAAATCCAACGTCTGGAGGCTTTTGGTGTCATCAGACCTAGATGGAGGAAAGAACCAACATCCCATGCTTTTTGAGCCAAATACGCAACTGCCTGTGTTAATAATTGCATGTTTTCACTGCTCATAGGATATGCGGGTTCGGGTCGGGTTGCGGAACTAATTGGCAATATGTGCGCGGAGAGGGTTCGGTATTGCACGTCGCGGGTACAGGGCGGAAGCGGGTCTTGAAAATCAGACCCGTGCAGGACTCTGGCGGGGATGCAATGTAGACGGGAATAAACGCAGATCATCCTCTGGCTGCAGCCTTGACCGGTACTTGCTTTTGAAGAGAATGAGCACTCTCACTGGTGGGTGGAGGTGAAGAGAATGAGCACTCTCACTGGTGGGTGGAGGTGAAGAGAATGAGCACTCTCACTGGTGGGTGGAGGTGAAGAGAATGAGCACTCTCACTGGTGGGTGGAGGTGAAGGGAATGAGCACTCTCACAGGTGGGAGCTCTCTGGCGCCCCCCAGGGGAGGCGCGCCTCACACTTTGAAAACCGCTGGTCTATACGATAGAGAACTGTAGCGATACAACCCGTTTCGTCTCCATGTGGCCGGGGCCTTAATATTAGCAGGGCTCTAAGGGTGCGTTCACACCAGCCTTGTTGAATCTAACCCTGGTGCGTTTAGCCGCTTGGTGCGGTTCGCTCTGGTCCGCTAAAATAGGTGGTCTCGGAGCGCTTGCTAGTGAACTCTGGAGCGGTTCATTGCTGGCGTGAACGCAGTCCGCACCAAAACATAGGAAGCGTAGTATTTACGAGTCACAAGAACGTGGATATCTTCAAAATCTTTAGCGAAAGAGTCTTTCAAGACATCCGCGGTTGTTCAGTTAAAGAGTGAAGCAGAATGAAGAGCTGAACAGTGTCGTGTAAAGTAAAAAGGCTCCGTCAGCTACATAAAAGTAAGAACACCTGTCGTCGGTGAAACGCCCTCCTGGCTGCAGAACGTCTCTCATTGTGTGATAATGTTTTTTAACGGACGTTGTCTGATTATATAATCATATGCGCGGGCCGCTAGAGTCTGTTGATCTCCAGACTAACAGCAGCATGAGAATAACCTGCCGAAAGTGCCGATGCTCCACGGCGGAGGCTCCGGGGAGAAATTGCAGGGATTTGCGTTTTTACCCCCTTAATGTCTGACCAATGGGTGAACAGCATTTCCGTGCACATGACTTGTGTTTAAAGTTGATAGTTTGAGTTTGAGTTTTGCCGTGTGAACGCAAACCGAACCTTCTGAGAAATGAAACAATGCAACAAACTGTGGTCTGGTGCTCACCTGAGAGCGGACTATTAGGTGTGAATGCACCCTAAGATGTTGTATAAAAACTAGGGCTGGGACTCGATTAAAAAAATTAATCTAATTAATTAGAGGCTTTGTAATTAATTAATCGAAATTAATCGCATTTTTAATCACATATAAATATTTGACCTAAGAACAGTGAGAAGCAATTTTGTTCACATGGATTTTAGTATACCATTAGGCGCATTCACACCGCAGTACTTTTCCCACAAAGGTTCATGAGAACTTAGTTCATGAGAACTCTTTGAACCTGGGGGTGGATTAGGCAAATGAAGCCGCTGACGTCACTTCTTCTTCTTCTGCATTGAGTTTACTGGCAGGCCGCAAACCACTTCACGGCGTATACTGCCGCCCAAAGTCCCCGGCCGGAAGTCTCCGGAGTTGGGGAAGGCTTCAGTCTACTGAATTTACTCCTTCCGAGTAAATCGCCAGAACGCCGACACCTCCTCATCTCCACCGCTCCCATGTTTTATTTTGTGTTGCCATAAGTTAGTCTCTCTGCGTTTCTGCGCTGGGCTAATGCTAATAATGCTAATAATGCTAATGCGAGGATAATAAAATGGCGGCTTCACAAAACTTTTTGGGAGTTTTACGGGGCGTGGTTTGCAATCCGCCCAGCCAATCAGAAATATAGCTATTTTCTCACAAGAGAGCCGTACGAAAGTCCCTGCTCTCTAGCAGCTCTCTGCTCTCTAGCAGGGACTTCCGTGGGGGTAAAAAGGTTCTCATGAACTAATTTTAGTACCGGCTCTTTTTGGTGTGAACGCGATAAAAGATGCTGCTATATGTTTTGCATTGAGGTGATACTTGAGGCTTGATGTGCTGCGGTGATATGCGAATTCCTTTTTGCATAATTTGCACACAACCGTGCTCTTATCGACGCTTCCATCCGTCCGTTTTTTAAAACAACATTTCCCACTGTTGTTCACTGTGGTTTGTTGTTGTCTGAAGTCATGAACGTTAGTTGGTGCTCCAGTATAATCGGTACGCCTGAAACTCATCCAGTGAGAAACGTTCCGCGGTGCAAAAATAAGTGCGATTAAAATGCGTTAATTTTTGTGTAATTAATTAATCTTAATTAACGCGTTAAAGTCCCGGCCCTAATAAAAACGAACCTTTGCTATCAATTGAAATATGAAAAAGGATTTCACCTCAGTGGGGAGATGACCGGGGTGAAACCGATCAATAGTGTGCACTTTATCTAATATTAAGAGGCTAGATCTATGAAAAAACCGGAGTGAGTTGAGCCCAGCAACAATTCTCTGAGGGTCACCACATGATATGTACAGTTGCATAAAGTATTGTGCATTAGTGCATAAAGGGGAGATTAAATAGTAAGTCTAGTAGTCTCCACAATACTTGTATGCGCTCAGGAGGACTGACCGAGTGTCTTCATCTGTGTCCATACAGTCGGTTCTTAAAGCCACCCCTGTGTACTGACCAAGACGATTGGTGGTCAAAATAAAGTGTATTTTCTTCGCTTTGTCAGGATCTGGTGGCTTCGACCTGTATGGTGGGGGCTATAAAGACTCCATGTCCGGGCTGGGGGGCTACGGAGGTGGAGGAGGAGGCCATATGAAGAGGGGGCTTTCAGGGACCTCCTCCACAGGAACCCATGCAGATGCAGTCATCGCCAAAATCAACCAGCGTCTGGACATGCTGACTCAGCTGGAGGGGGGGCTGAAAGGGTCCCGCGGCGACAGGTAAGAACGGTTCTTCATCAGTCAGAACACACTCCATCCAGGCCAGAGAGAGCCGAGTCAGAACTGTTCTTAATCAGTCAGAACACACTCCATCCAGGCCAGAGAGAGCCGAGTCAGAACTGTTCTTCATCAGTCAGAACACACTCCATCCAGGCCAGAGAGAGCCGAGTCAGAACTGTTCTTCATCAGTCAGAACACACTCCATCCAGGCCAGAGAGAGCCGAGTCAGAACGGTTCTTCATCAGTCAGAACACACTCCATCCAGGCCAGAGAGAGCCAAGTCAGAACTGTTCTTCATCAGTCAGAACACACTCCATCCAGGCCAGAGATAGCCGAGTCAGAACTGTTCTTAATCAGTCAGAACACACTCCATCCAGGCCAGAGAGAGCCGAGTCAGAACTGTTCTTCATCAGTCAGAACACACTCCATCCAGGCCAGAGAGAACCGAGTCAGAACTGTTCATCAGTCAGAACACACTCCATCCAGGCCAGGTAGAACCGAGTCAGAACAGTTCTTCATCAGTCAGAACACACTCCATCCAGGCCAGAGAGAGCCGAGTCAGAACTGTTCTTCATCAGTCAGAACACACTCCATCCAGGCCAGAGAGAGCCGAGTCAGAACTGTTCTTCATCAGTCAGAACACACTCCATCCAGGCCAGAGAGAACCGAGTCAGAACTGTTCTTCATCAGTCAGAACACACTCCATCCAGGCCAGAGAGAGCCGAGTCAGAACTGTTCTTCATCAGTCAGAACACACTCCATCCAGGCCAGAGAGAGCCGAGTCAGAACTGTTCTTCATCAGTCAGAACACACTCCACCAGGCCAGAGAGAACCGAGTCAGAACTGTTCTTCATCAGTCAGAACACACTCCATCCAGGCCAGAGAGAGCCGAGTCAGAACTGTTCTTCATCAGTCAGAACACACTCCATCCAGGCCAGAGAGAGCCGAGTCAGAACGGTTCTTCATCAGTCAGAACACACTCCATCCAGGCCAGAGAGAGCCGAGTCAGAACGGTTCTTCATCAGTCAGAACACACTCCATCCAGGCCAGAGAGAGCCGAGTCAGAACTGTTCTTCATCAGTCAGAACACACTCCATCCAGGCCAGAGAGAACCGAGTCAGAACGGTTCTTCATCAGTCAGAACACACTCCATCCAGGCCAGAGAGAGCCAAGTCAGAACTGTTCTTAATCAGTCAGAACACACTCCATCCAGGCCAGAGAGAGCCGAGTCAGAACGGTTCTTCATCAGTCAGAACACACTCCATCCAGGCCAGAGAGAGCCGAGTCAGAACGGTTCTTCATCAGTCAGAACACACTCCATCCAGGCCAGAGAGAGCCGAGTCAGAACGGTTCTTCATCAGTCAGAACACACTCCATCCAGGCCAGAGAGAGCCGAGTCAGAACTGATCTTCATCAGTCAGAACACACTCCATCCAGGCCAGAGAGAGCCGAGTCAGAACTGATAATCACAAGATCTACTAAAGCAGGAGGATATAAACAAACAGGATATTTAGAAAAGGACCTAAACTACATTTTTAAAAAGTTGCCAAAAAGGCTTGATTTAGATCAAACTGAAAACTGACAGCTGTGACATGAGGCTTTTTGTAATAAAAAAATCACATATTATAAGCCTTTATTTGAAATCTAAGGAACAGATCTTTTGAAATGTGTAGCGACATCATCGATGTGGTAATAGTTGAGGTTTGACTTCACACGTGGGACGAGTGTCTGTCGCCTGAACACCTCGCCGTGTGCAGAACTGTTTCTCCTTTCCGTCTGTTTGTTTGTTGCCAATAAAATGTTCCTGAAATCCTTTAGACGTCATAAATGCATGCCCCCCCCCCCCCCTCGTTGGAGGGGCAGTTGTTCTATCTCCATCCCAGCCCATCGGTACTGTGATCCATCCTCCATGTGTTCTGGCTTCAGGTTACACAAGAGGGAAGTTTACAGGCATCATGATAGTCAAAGCTGCTTGCTGTATCTACAAAGAACTCTAGATTATGTCCCCCCCATGTTGAGTATATCCCCTCTTGCCCTGGTCTCCAGACCCCCCCCCCAGTTCTGAAGGTTTCCAACAAACTGCATCCCCATATCTGCAGCGTTTGACCTCCTGCTGAGCGTTTGCAAGACAGAAATCATTACTTTGTGATAAAGATGTGCACAGGGTCATCATCGGGTCTGGTGTAATGTGGGGTGGGGGGACATTTCATTTAGCGGAACATTAAACCAATGAGGAGCAGACTCAGAGGTTCACTTCCTGTCTGTAAACCCCACCAGGTTTAAGAAGAAGGGAGGAGGCAGGAGGAGCCGGAGCAGAAGCCCCCCCCCTGCCTCCCTTCCCTCCACCAACCCTCTCCCTCCCTCCCGCAGGTTTGACCACTACGAGTCTTTCGACTCTCGCTCCCCCGCCCTCCCCCCCCTCCCGAGATCTCTACAGATCCTCTGCTGGGAGCTATGGGTACGATGGCCGCGAGGATGGGATGCTGCTGAGTCAGAGAGGAAACTCCGGCTTTGGGGGTGTTGTTGGTCTGGGAGGGGGGGGCGGAGGCTTTGACAGCCCCTCCTCATCATCCTCTGCTTCCTATGGAGTCGCCAAAATGCGACAGAATATGAGAGAGTCGTTCAACCAGGGAGGAGGAGGAGGTGGGGGGGGCTGGACAGGGCGCCGCTCCCCCAGAAGGGGTGGAGGAACAGGAGGGTTTGCAAACCGCAGGTCGGACCCCCCTCCGTTAGGCGGGGGTGGGCGAGGGGGGGGGAGACTCTCCTCCTCTCCGGGGGGGGGTCGAGGCAAGCTGCCCTCCCTCCTGGCCAGCCGCATGTACCCTGAGAGCGGGGGCTTCCAGCAGCAAGACATCCCCGGGAGGCACTTTGGAGGGGGGCCGCGGGCCGGCCGGCAGCGGGGCCGCAAGAGACCCCTCAACAAAGTAAGTAAGATGAATAAAGTCCTCCTCAGACAGGAAGTAAAGCCCGCTCTGATCCCCCCCCAAGTGAAAGCCCAAAGTGTTCAGTGTCTTCACTCTCCCACCAGTCAAATTATAATAACGTTCACTTGTATTATTTAGCGCCTTTCATGAAACCCAAGGACGCTTTACAATAGGACGACATGGACCCCCCCTCATTGTCCAAATCGTATTCTTGTTCACCTGGGGGGGGGGGGGGCAGTTTTGACCCTGCAGAGTTAAGATAAGGCTAACACTACTGCTTTCATTTTGAACTTGCTGTGAAAGTGGGGGCAGCTTCTTCCTGCAAACTGGCCCGACTCACGATAGAGCTGCACTGGAAGGAGGGTAGTTCCCCCTCCATTCATCTGCCGTGACCCCCCCCCCCCCTAAACCTGTAGTCGACTAATTAGTCTTTCCAAGTAGAATTCTGTAAATTTCTTATGCTTTTTTAAATTTTTAATCAAAGTTTATTTCCCAACACAATCCCAGATGAACTTGGCAAAGATAACGGTTGTTCAAATGTGAAGGGGTCGAAGCAGCTGGAACACAAAACAGAGCCAAATGGATTTAAACCATATTCAAACACACAGGATCTAACTGACTGTATTCCCAGCACACATTGGTCTCAGGGGCTTCACAGATGATACAGAATCCCCCCCCCCCAACTCCCCCACAGACTTAACTAATCTGCCTCCTTTTGTACAGTAACGCCAAGTGACCTGGGGCTGAGGAGAGGTTTTTATTTATTTATTTTGCCCCCACCCCGGGCAGATTTAGAGCTTTATAGCTTACAAGAGGCAACCGTTGTCTATTTATAGCGTGAAAGCAGTTTTACTAACATAATCTGCTTTATTCTTATTACTTATGCAAATTAAATCTTGATAGCTGTAGAAATGTCAGTATTAAATAATGGTACCAGAGAGCACAGGATGTAGCTTAACATGATAATACTGACGGACATCAAGCAGTCTTTGAGTTCTGGTTTGAGTGCACGTTAGGTGTCAGAGTGCACGTTAACGGTGTGTCCTGCAGCAGGTGAAGCCTCAGAGGGAGATGCAGAAGAAGAGGAAGCAGACTCTCACGGCAGCCGACGAACCCGAGTCCAAGATGAACCGAACAGAGCCGGCAGAAACTAAACCAGGTAAACAAACACCTGGAGAGATGCTCTGGCCCGCAGCTACTTCTAAAAGCATAATGTGCTTCTGTTATATTGTACTTCTTAAATATATGTAAACAGATATCACAAAGTAGTTTTCATGTGTTAACGAGCCAAATAAATTCTGTCAATTTAAACATTTTCTAACAGAAACAAAAACAAACGTATTTCCATAACAAGCTTTAAATAAACCTTCATATCAATCTGAGGATCTGCTGTGAGGGATGCAAACAGGAGAGAGTAAACCCTCTGGAGAGCTGGGTTGTTTCTCAAAGCTTATTCAAGAATAATTGACCTACATTTGATTGATTTTGCCAACTTAATACTTACCTTATGAGGCAATAGAGCGGTGCAGTGACGAGTCCTAAAACCAGGAAGTGAGTCAGCAGGTCTCCACTTCCTGTCCCCTGGTCTCAGAGCCAATGGGATCTCTCCATAGGATGTTGGAAACTAGCTGAACTAAGGTCTGTGGTTGAGACACGTTGAAGAGACGGATCAGGTTTTGTTCTAGGACATTAAATCATCAGCAGTGACCCCACTGGTGATTTCTGAAGAGTGGACGTGTCTGAGAAACGATGGTTGTTACCAAGTGGCTGAATAGGACTACAGAAGTCGTGGAGGCCGTTGTATGTCATTACGCCGAACACGTGAACACTCCTCTGAGTTAGTTTCTGTTCTGCTTTAAAGCAAGTCCCTGCCTCCTGCAGAGTGTTCAAACAAACGCTTCAACTCGTTCCATCTAGAATCTGTGTGTTTGAATCTGGATCTGAAGTCGGCGTGACGTTGAAGTCGTGCTGCTGGACTCGCTGTAGCTCCTTTATAGCATTACGTTAGCATTTTGCTTCTGGACATGATTTATGATTCAACATTATAAAAGTAGACATGTGGAGATTATCCGGCTGAACAAAACGTGCATTTATCAAACAGGTTCCTTTTCCACAGACATTATTTCTAGCTCTTTTCCTAAATCCTCTGGAGAGATCCCATTGGCTCTGAGACCAGGGAACAGGAAGTGGAGAGATCCCATTGGCTCTGAGACCAGGGAACAGGAAGTGGAGAGATCCCATTGGCTCTGAGACCAGAGAACAGGAAGTGGAGAGATCCCATTGGCTCTGAGACCAGGGAACAGGAAGTGGAGAGATCCCATTGGCTCTGAGACCAAGGAACAGGAAGTGGAGAGATCCCATTGGCTCTGAGACCAGGGAACAGGAAGTGGAGAGATCCCATTGGCTCTGAGACCAAGGAACAGGAAGTGGAGAGATCCCATTGGCTCTGAGACCAGGGAACAGGAAGTGGAGAGATCCCATTGGCTCTGAGACCAGGGAACAGGAAGTGGAGAAATGCTGACTCACTTCCTGGTTTTAGGACTCGCTCAATAAACCTCCCCTCTAGTGGGGGTCCGGCCCTTCAGATGTTTCTCTGTGTATGGCCCTCAGTGAGAACAGTTCGGACCCCCTTGATGTACATTGTGGTGCACAGCTTGACGTGCTTTGTTTCCGTAGAGCCAGCCGAGAAGAACGGTGACGACGGTGAAACAAAAGCTGCAGTGGAGGTGAGATGAGTGTTTCTCAAAGTGTGGCCCCCCCTAGTGGTCCGTCAGTATATTGGTACAATTTCACATTTGAAATAAATAAATAATAAAAAGTGTTTCTCAAATTGTTTAAAAATGACTAGTCTAGGAGCAACAGAGACACGCAGTCAATGAGTGCGTGAACAACACTTAATAAATGGAACATTGTAAATGATGAATGTGGTTGATGTTGAATTCATGCCTGCATAGTTTTACTGTATTCTATTTAGACAATCCACAGCGGTGCTTTGTGTCGAACTAAATGTGTAATTAGCGTATCTGTCAGTAGCCAACGATCTGTGACTCGGACATAAACTCCGTAAATAAATGTAGTCTACGTTTCATACGAGGTGAAAAACATGAGTATTTTAAATCTCATGAGTGAAATGCTTGTGGAATCTGTCGGTGGTCCGTACGTTGTTCGTTAAGTGATCCTTGGTTTGAGAAACACTGCTCTATCAACACTTGGCCCCGTGGTGTTTTATCTGATTTAAATGTAATGTTTTCATCCATGTTTCTGAATGAAATAAGTAATGGAACATTGTTTTCCCCCAGGTCTTCAAAGCTCCTGCAGACGCAGATAACGGTAAGGACTATGAGCTCCACTCGGCTCCACTCGGCTACACCTCTCACCCTCTCTCTTCAATCTGTCATGCTTTACGTCTGCTCTCAGCTTCCCCAGAGCAGAAGGAGGAGAAGAGTCCGGCGGGCAAACAGAGCCCGAGCCCCGGCCAGGACAAACACCCCAAGATGAGGAAGAGGAGGGGCTTCCTGGAGAGGTGAGGGGAAATGTTCAAATGTACTAACTGACGCTTCGGCACCAGATCACCCTTCATCCTGACGGCTCTCTCTGCCAGAGCACCACTGATGGAGACGCAGTAAACTCACTGTGTAATAAAGCACTCTCATAAGGGTCTGAAAGCTGATTTGTTTGATATGAAAATCCTCAAAGTTGACCTCACTGTCCGCCCCCCCCCTCAGGGTGATGTTCGCCTGCTCGGTGTGTAAGTTCCGCTCCTTCTATAAGGAGGAGATGGAGACTCACCTGGACAGCCGCTTCCACAAAGACCACTTCAAGTTCCTGTCCGGACAGCTGTCCAAGCCCACCACCGACTTCCTGCAGGTACACACTCTTTCACTGCGCTCGTGCTCATAGTAATAGATTCAATTAACTATTGCGCCTTTCAAGGGACCCAAGGACACTTGACATGTTCTCTTTTGATGCAAGGAACGTTTATTTATGCAGCACCTTTCAACCTTCAAGTGCTTTACAGACATGAAAGACATTAAGAGCAGTGTTATGGCGCGTTTCCACTGCAGGCCTCGCTCGGTTTGGCTAGGCCTCGTTAGGACTGGCTCACTTTATGGCGCATTTCCATTACAGTTTAGGAACTGGGGCAGTTACTATAGTAACGCAGTGTAGGCGGAGCCGTGACGTCATCTTCAATGAGAGCCCCAGAAAAACAACACAGCCGTTAGCTCTTAGCCCTCAGAGCTCACAGCTCCTCATATCTGTTCAGAAACTAGACAAAAGTTAAACGAGTACAAACCACAGACTGCCTGTGTCATGGAGAATACAGTCGCTGGTTTATTTATGTCTGTATAGGCCGTTGTTGCGAGTGTGGACGGTCGGAGCATATACAACCTTAGCTTAGCCAAGCTCCATTTAGAAAACAAGCATTTTAAAAGGGTTTTTCGCCTGCCGTCTGTCTGCAGACGCAAAGCATTAACTCATGGTTTTTACTAACCGGTATCAGTGTGTTGTTACTTCGGCATCATTTTGAAACGTGTATTACAATTAAATCACGGTCAAATATGTTCATCTTGAACACAAAGACAATAAAACATGAATACAAGGTGGCGTGTGAGATGTGAATAGTTCCATGAAAAGATGAAGTGTGATTATCTAGGCTGTTCTCATGGATAAACGGAAAGACTTTGTTTTTCAGGAGTATCTGCAGAACAAGTTTAAGAAGACGGATCAGAGGGTGGGTCAGCTGGAGAACCACAGCGCCGCCATCTGCCAGGTGTACAGGGAGCAGGACCTCACCAAGGGTAAGAGGAGCACACACACACACACAGAGAGAGAGAGACACAGAGAGAGACACAGACAAAAGTTCCACAGATTATTTAGGTATATAGTATCATCACTGAGTGATTTGAACTCGGACAGGGGAAGCAAACACAGACATCACAACACGTACCTTTACGTAGCTTCGAGGGGAGATGTCTCACCGTAGCTGTCAATCTGATCAAAATACGTGTTCAATGGCATAAAAACAAGAAATAAAAAAACGCGGCTGAATCGGTTAATCCATAGGTTTTTAATGTCTCTGTATAAAAAAATGATTTAATTTATAATCCATAATTCAATTTTTATGTAAATATCGCAGAGCAAAAGTTAGCTGCTAATGGTAGCCACCAGAGTGGCTGCTGCTTCCGGTCTGGGCTATGCGGCAGTCTCTCACATACACATTACCAAATAAGGAGTGAGAGTGACGCGTGGCCAAAACCGGAAGCTGCATGGTGGATACCATTAGCAGCTAACTGTTGTGATCCGATTTGTACATAAAAATGGAATTATGGATTATAAACAATTGCTTCAAAGCCACAGAAACATTATCAACCTATGGATCAACCGATTCAGCCGCGTTTTTTCTTTCTCGTTGTAATGCCATTGAACACGTCTTTTGATCAGATTGATAGCTACGGTGAGACGATCTCCCGTAAAAGCTCCGTAAAAGGTACGTGTTGTGATGTCTGTGTTTGCTTCCCCTGTTGCGAGATCGGATCGCTTAGATACTATACTTAAATAATCTGTGGAGTCTCAGCATTAATCGGATATATTGTATGTGCAGTTTCGATACGTAATAAGGGTATCTTTATTTAGAATTCTGTGCTAAAGTTCGTTAGCATTAAAAAAAAAAAATGAATAAAACCGCACGTCCCTGCGGTGTGAATATCGCGCATGCGCATACCGCGGTTATCGCCATGACACGGTATATCGTTCAGCCCTACTGTGTGTGTGTGTGTGTGTGTGTGAGAGCAAAGAGTGTGTGTTAGAGTGATTCAGTGTGTGTGTGTGAGCAAAGACAGCATGAACCAACGGTCTGTGTTGTGTTGCAGATCTGGGGATGGAGCACTTCATGAGGAAGGTGGAGGCCGCACACTGCGCCGCCTGCGACGTGTTCATCCCCATGCAGCCGCATCTCATCCAGAAACATATCAAGTCCCCGGATCACAACTACAACAGGAAGGTGAGCAACGACCACCAAGCATCCTTCACTCTGCAGGAAGGCTCTGGCGCCACGTGCTCAGCAGCTACAGTGTGGACATGGAGCAGCTAACCCTCCAGCAACATAGATGACTTGAAACAAATACAATGGTGCAAGAGAATGTTTGAAGAGTCTATATTCAAGTAAATGGAATATGATGTAGAGATAAAGAATTAGCTAAACGCAATCTCAGGGATGTCCTTCAGAGTTCAGGTGTTCATAGTCTGTGGAAGACAACTGTCTCTGAGTCTGGTGGTTTTTATACCGGTCTGTTCAACAAACAAGAACGATATCAACGTTATTAATGACTGATGTTTACTCTCATTAAAGGGGATGATGGAGCAGTCGAAGAGGGCGAGTCTCTCCGTCGCTCGCAGCATCCTGAACCACAAACTGATCGGGAAGAAGCTGGAGAGCTACCTGAAGGTAAAGAGTCCTCTCCTGCTGATGTTCAGGTGTATATCAGTATGTAGTGTCTCTACTTTAAAGAGTCCTCTCCTGCTGATGTTCAGGTGTATATCAGTATGTAGTGTCTCTACTTTAAAGAGTCCTCTCCTGCTGATGTTCAGGTGTATATCAGTATGTAGTGTCTCTACTTTAAAGAGTCCTCTCCTGCTGATGGTCAGGTGTATATCAGTATGTAGTGTCTCTACTTTAAAGAGTCCTCTCCTGCTGATGTTCAGGTGTATATCAGTATGTAGTGTCCCTACTTTAAAGAGTCCTCTCCTGCTGATGTTCAGGTGTATATCAGTATGTAAGTTGTCTCTACTTTAAAGAGTCCTCTCCTGCTGATGTTCAGGTGTATATCAGTATGTAGTGTCTCTACTTTAAAGAGTCCTCTCCTGCTGATGTGTCAGGTGTATATCAGTATGTAGTGTCTCTACTTTAAAGAGTCCTCTCCTGCTGATGTTCAGGTGTATATCAGTATGTAGTGTCTCTACTTTAAAGAGTCCTCTCCTGCTGATGTTCAGGTGTATATCAGTATGTAGTGTCTCTACTTTAAAGAGTCCTCTCCTGCTGATGTTCAGGGTGTATATCAGTGTGTAGTGTCTCTACTTTAAAGAGTCCTCTCCTGCTGATGTTCAGGTGTATATCAGTATGTAGTGTCTCTACTTTAAAGAGTCCTCTCCTAGCTGATGTTCAGGTGTATATCAGCATGTAGTGTCTCTACTTTAAAGAGTCCTCTCCTGCTGATGTTCAGGTGTATATCAGTATGTAGTGTCTCTACTTTAAAGAGTCCTCTCCTGCTGATGTTCAGGTGTATATCAGTATGTAGTGTCTCTACTTTAAAGAGTCCTCTCCTGCTGATGTTCAGGTGTATATCAGTATGTAGTGTCTCTACTTTAAAGAGTCCTCTCCTGCTGATGTTCAGGTGTATATCAGTATGTAGTGTCTCTACTTTAAAGAGTCCTCTCCTGCTGATGTTCAGGTGTATATCAGTATGTAGTGTCTCTACTTTAAAGAGTCCTCTCCTGCTGATGTTCAGGTGTATATCAGTAGTAGTGTCTTTACTTTAAAGAGGCCCTCTCCTGCTGATGTTCAGGTGTATATCAGTATGTAGTGTCTCTACTTTAAAGAGTCCTCTCCTGCTGATGTTCAGGTGTATATCAGTATGTAGTGTCTCTACTTTAAAGAGTCCTCTCCTGCTGATGTTCAGGTGTATATCAGTATGTAGTGTCTCTACTTTAAAGAGTCCTCTCCTGCTGATGTTCAGGTGTATATCAGTATGTAGTGTCTCTACTTTAAAGAGTCCTCTCCTGCTGATGTTCAGGTGTATATCAGTATGTAGTGTCTCTACTTTAAAGAGTCCTCTCCTGCTGATGTTCAGGTGTATATCAGTATGTAGTGTCTCTACTTTAAAGAGTCCTCTCCTGCTGATGTTCAGGTGTATATCAGTATGTAGTGTCTCTACTTTAAAGAGTCCTCTCCTGCTGATGTTCAGGTGTATATCAGTATGTAGTGTCTCTACTTTAAAGAGTCCTCTCCTGCTGATGTTCAGGTGTATATCAGTATGTAGTGTCTCTACTTTAAAGAGTCCTCTCCTGCTGATGTTCAGGTGTATATCAGTATGTAGTGTCTCTACTTTAAAGAGTCCTCTCCTGCTGATGTTCAGGTGTATATCAGTATGTAGTGTCTCTACTTTAAAGAGTCCTCTCCTGCTGATGTTCAGGTGTATATCAGTATGTAGTGTCTCTACTTTAAAGAGTCCTCTCCTGCTGATGTTCAGGTGTATATCAGTATGTAGTGTCTCTACTTTAAAGAGTCCTCTCCTGCTGATGTTCAGGTGTATATCAGTATGTAGTGTCTCTACTTTAAAGAGTCCTCTCCTGCTGATGTTCAGGTGTATATCAGTATGTAGTGTCTCTACTTTAAAGAGTCCTCTCCTGCTGATGTTCAGGTGTATATCAGTATGTAGTGTCTCTACTTTAAAGAGTCCTCTCCTGCTGATGTTCAGGTGTATATCAGTATGTAGTGTCTCTACTTTAAAGAGTCCTCTCCTGCTGATGTTCAGGTGTATATCAGTATGTAGTGTCTCTACTTTAAAGAGTCCTCTCCTGCTGATGTTCAGGTGTATATCAGTATGTAGTGTCTCTACTTTAAAGAGTCCTCTCCTGCTGATGTTCAGGTGTATATCAGTATGTAGTGTCTCTACTTTAAAGAGTCCTCTCCTGCTGATGTTCAGGTGTATATCAGTATGTAGTGTCTCTACTTTAAAGAGTCCTCTCCTGCTGATGTTCAGGTGTATATCAGTATGTAGTTGTCTCTACTTTAAAGAGTCCTCTCCTGCTGATGTTCAGGTGTATATCAGTATGTAGTGTCTCTACTTTAAAGAGTCCTCTCCTGCTGATGTTCAGGTGTATATCAGTATGTAGAGTCTCTACTTTAAAGAGTCCTCTCCTGCTGATGTTCAGGTGTATATCAGTATGTAGTGTCTATACTTTAAAGAGTCCTCTCCTGCTGATGTTCAGGTGTATATCAGTATGTAGTGTCTCTACTTTAAAGAGTCCTCTCCTGCTGATGTTCAGGTGTATATCAGTATGTAGTGTCTCTACTTTAAAGAGTCCTCTCCTGCTGATGTTCAGGTGTATATCAGTATGTAGTCTCTACTTTAAAGAGTCCTCTCCTGCTGATGTTCAGGTGTATATCAGTATGTAGTGTCTCTACTTTAAAGAGTCCTCTCCTGCTGATGTTCAGGTGTATATCAGTATGTAGTGTCTATACTTTAAAGAGTCCTCTCCTGCTGATGTTCAGGTGTATATCAGTATGTAGTGTCTCTACTTTAAAGAGTCCTCTCCTGCTGATATTCAGGTGTATATCAGTATGTAGTGTCTCTACTTTAAAGAGTCCTCTCCTGCTGATGTTCAGGTGTATATCAGTATGTAGTGCTTCTACTTTAAAGAGTCCTCTCCTGCTGATGTTCAGGTGTATATCAGTATGTAGTGTCTCTACTTTAAAGAGTCCTCTCCTGCTGATGTTCAGGTGTATATCAGTATGTAGTGTCTCTACTTTAAAGAGTCCTCTCCTGCTGATGTTCAGGTGTATATCAGTATGTAGTGTCTCTACTTTAAAGAGTCCTCTCCTGCTGATGTTCAGGTGTATATCAGTATGTAGTGTCTCTACTTTAAAGAGTCCTCTCCTGCTGATGTTCAGGTGTATATCAGTATGTAGTGTCTCTACTTTAAAGAGTCCTCTCCTGCTGATGTTCAGGTGTATATCAGTATGTAGTGTCTCTACTTTAAAGAGTCCTCTCCTGCTGATGTTCAGGTGTATATCAGTATGTAGTGTCTCTACTTTAAAGAGTCCTCTCCTGCTGATGTTCAGGTGTATATCAGTATGTAGTGTCTCTACTTAAAGAGTCCTCTCCTGCTGATGTTCAGGTGTATATCAGTATGTAGTGTCCTCTACTTTAAAGAGTCCTCTCCTGCTGATGTTCAGGTGTATATCAGTATGTAGTGTCTCTACTTTAAAGAGTCCTCTCCTGCTGATGTTCAGGTGTATATCAGTATGTAGTGTCTCTACTTTAAAGAGTCCTCTCCTGCTGATGTTCAGGTGTATATCAGTATGTAGTGTCTCTACTTTAAAGAGTCCTCTCCTGCTGATGTTCAGGTGTATATCAGTATGTAGTGTCTCTACTTTAAAGAGTCCTCTCCTGCTGATGTTCAGGTGTATATCAGTATGTAGTGTCTCTACTTTAAAGAGTCCTCTCCTGCTGATGTCAGGTGTATATCAGTATGTAGTGTCTCTACTTTAAAGAGTCCTCTCCTGCTGATGTTCAGGTGTATATCAGTATGTAGTGTCTCTACTTTAAAGAGTCCTCTCTGCTGATGTTCAGGTGTATATCAGTATGTAGTGTCTCTACTTTAAAGAGTCCTCTCCTGCTGATGTTCAGGTGTATATCAGTATGTAGTGTCTCTACTTTAAAGAGTCCTCTCCTGCTGATGTTCAGGTGTATATCAGTATGTAGTGTCTCTACTTTAAAGAGTCCTCTCCTGCTGATGTTCAGGTGTATATCAGTATGTAGTGTCTCTACTTTAAAGAGTCCTCTCCTGCTGATGTTCAGGTGTATATCAGTATGTAGTGTCTCTACTTTAAAGAGTCCTCTCCTGCTGATGTTCAGGTGTATATCAGTATGTAGTGTCTCTACTTTAAAGAGTCCTCTCCTGCTGATGTTCAGGTGTATATCAGTATGTAGTGGTCTCTACTTTAAAGAGTCCTCTCCTGCTGATGTTCAGGTGTATATCAGTATGTAGTGTCTCTACTTTAAAGAGTCCTCTCCTGCTGATGTTCAGGTGTATATCAGTATGTAGTGTCTCTACTTTAAAGAGTCCTCTCCTGCTGATGTTCAGGTGTATATCAGTATGTAGTGTCCTCTACTTTAAAGAGTCCTCTCCTGCTGATGTTCAGGTGTATATCAGTATGTAGTGTCTCTACTTTAAAGAGTCCTCTCCTGCTGGATGTTCAGGTGTATATCAGTATGTAGTGTCTCTACTTTAAAGAGTCCTCTCCTGCTGGTGTTCAGGTGTATATCAGTATGTAGTGTCTCTACTTTAAAGAGTCCTCTCCTGCTGGTGTTCAGGTGTAGTATCAGTGTGTATTGTCTCTACTTTAAAGAGTCCTCTCCTGCTGATGTTCAGGTGTATATCAGTATGTAGTGTCTCTACTTTAAAGAGTCCTCTCCTGCTGATGTTCAGGTGTATATCAGTGTGTAGTGTCTCTACTTTAAAGAGTCCTCTCCTGCTGATGTTCAGGTGTATATCAGTGTGTAGTGTCTCTACTTTAAAGAGTCCTCTCCTGCTGATGTTCAGGTGTATATCAGTATGTAGTGTCTCTACTTTAAAGAGTCCTCTCCTGCTGGTGTTCAGGTGTATATCAGTATGTAGTGTCTCTACTTTAAAGAGTCCTCTCCTGCTGATGTTCAGGTGTATATCAGTATGTAGTGTCTCTACTTTAAAGAGTCCTCTCCTGCTGATGTTCAGGTGTATATCAGTATGTAGTGTCTCTACTTTAAAGAGTCCTCTCCTGCTGATGTTCAGGTGTATATCAGTATGTAGTGTCTCTACTTTAAAGAGTCCTCTCCTGCTGATGTTCAGGTGTATATCAGTATGTAGTGTCTCTACTTTAAAGAGTCCTCTCCTGCTGATGTTCAGGTGTATATCAGTGTGTAGTGTCTCTACTTTAAAGAGTCCTCTCCTGCTGATGTTCAGGTGTGTATCAGTGTGTAGTGTCTCTACTTTAAAGAGTCCTCTCCTGCTGATGTTCAGGTGTATATCAGTATGTAGTGTCTCTACTTTAAAGAGTCCTCTCCTGCTGATGTTCAGGTGTATATCAGTATGTAGTGTCTCTACTTTAAAGAGTCCTCTCCTGCTGGTGTTCAGGTGTGTATCAGTGCGTATTGTCTCTACTTTAAAGAGTCCCTTCTTCTCTTTAGGGGGAGAACCCGTTCACTGGGAATCAGGACGATCAGGACCCCGATGATTCGATGGCGATGGACGTCTCTGAACTGGAGCTCACCGGCGAGGGAGGAGGCGACCAATCAGAGGAGGGGAAGGGACAGGAAGAGGAGGAGCTTCTGGGGGAAGAGGAGGACAAGGAGGCAACAGCAGAAACAGCTGTGGGAGAAACAACAACAAACACAACAGGAGAGGAGGAAGAGGAGAAGATGGATGCTGAGGAAGGACAGCAGGGAGAGGAAGACGAGGATGGATTTGAAGTTGAAGATGAGGAGGAAGGATATGTGGTGCACGATGAGGCCGGTGAAGATGAGGGAGTGAAGGAGGAAGAGGAGAAGAAGAAAGAGGAGGTGAAGGAGGAGGAGAAGAAGGAGGAGGAGGAAGAGGAGGAGGAGGAGAAGGAGGAGAAGAAGGAGGAGGAGAAGGAGAAGGAGGAGGAGGAGAAAGATGAATGACTTTTGCACCATGTGACTGAGCAGAGGTGCTCTGGGCTCAGCGCTCCCCTCAGGCGGCCGCCTCCTCTCTGGAGCGTCTGCGCCCCACAACTCCTGCAAACAGCAAAGCATGTTCTTTTATTAACTCTGACCTAATTCTCTGGTTTCTAAATTCAGAGCGCTTCGAGCCCCTCCTGCTGCCAGCGTCAGTCCATCGAGCTCCTTCCGTTTGATCAAGGCTCCTCCTGCTGCCAGCGTCAGTCCATCGAGCTCCTTCCGTTTGATCAAGGCTCCTCCTCGGCTCCTCTTCACACGTTATTTTTTTGTGCCTTTTTTGTTGAAAGTATTTTTATTTTCTTTACGACTTTGTGTCGAGTCGGTGTTATAAACATGAATGATGTTCGTAGGGTTTTTATTCTGCAGCCGCCTGTCGAGTGATTTAACATGATGTGAAACAAACTGTTCTGAGGAAATAAAGCTGTTGAATAAAATCACGTTTCCCTCATTTCTCTTCGTGTTATTTCACTTTACTGCAGCTAGGAATCAACTCATCCTTTTCTCGTTTGAACAAGGTCAGAGTACTTCTACTTTTAATCAAGAACAAGGTCAGAGTACTTCTACTTTTACTCAAGAACAAGGTCAGAGTACTTCTACTTTTACTCAAGAACAAGGTCAGAGTACTTCTACTTTTACTCAAGAACAAGGTCAGAGTACTTCTACTTTTACTCAAGAACAAGGTCAGAGTACTTCTACTTTTACTCAAGAACAAGGTCAGAGTACTTCTACTTTTACTCAAGAACAAGGTCAGAGTACTTCTACTTTTACTCAAGAACAAGGTCAGAGTACTTCTACTTTTACTCAAGAACAAGGTCAGAGTACTTCTACTTTTACTCAAGAACAAGGTCAGAGTACTTCTACTTTTACACTCAAGAACAAGGTCAGAGTACTTTCTACTTTTTACTCAAGAACAAGGTCAGAGTACTTCTACTTTTAACTCAAGAACAAGGTCAGAGTACTTCTACTTTTACTCAAGAACAAGGTCAGAGTACTTCTACTTTTACTCAAGAACAAGGTCAGAGTACTTCTACTTTTACTCAAGAACAAGGTCAGAGTACTTCTACTTTTACTCAAGAACAAGGTCAGAGTACTTCTACTTTACTCAAGAACAAGGTCTGAGTACTTCTACTTTTACTCAAGAACAAGGTCTGAGTACTTCTACTTTTACTCAAGAACAAGGTCTGAGTACTTCTACTTTTACTCAAGAACAAGGTCAGAGTACTTCTACTTTTACTCAAGAACAAGGTCAGAGTACTTCTACTTTTACTCAAGAACAAGGTCAGAGTACTTTTACTCAAGAACAAGGTCCGAGTACTTCTACTTTTACTCAAGAACAAGGGTCAGAGTACTTCTACTTTTACTCAAGAACAAGGTCTGAGTACTTCTACTTTTACTCAAGAACAAGGTCAGAGTACTTCTACTTTTACTCAAGAACAAGGTCAGAGTACTTCTACTTTTACTCAAGAACAAGATCTGAGTACTTCTACTTTTACTCAAGAACAAGGTCAGAGTACTTCTACTTTTACTCAAGAACAAGGTCAGAGTACTTTTACTCAAGAACAAGGTCAGAGTACTTCTACTTTTACTCAAGAACAAGGTCAGAGTACTTCTACTTTTACTCAAGAACAAGGTCAGAGTACTTCTACTTTTACTCAAGAACAAGGTCTGAGTACTTCTACTTTTACTCAAGAACAAGGTCAGAGTACTTCTACTTTTACTCAAGAACAAGGTCTGAGTACTTCTACTTTTACTCAAGAACAAGGTCAGAGTACTTCTACTTTTACTCAAGAACAAGGTCTGAGTACTTCTACTTTTACTCAAGAACAAGGTCAGAGTACTTCTACTTTTACTCAAGAACAAGGTCTGAGTACTTCTACTTTTACTCAAGAACAAGGTCTGAGTACTTCTACTTTTACTCAAGATCTGAGTACTTCTACTTTTACTCAAGTACAAGATCTGAGTACTTCTACTTTTACTCAAGATCGGAGTACTTCTACTTTTACTCAAGTACAAGATCTGAGTACTTCTACTTTTACTCAAGATCTGAGTACTTCTACTTTTACTCAAGATCGGAGTACTTCTACTTTTACTCAAGTACAAGATCTGAGTACTTCTACTTTTACTCAAGAACAAGGTCAGAGTACTTCTACTTTTACTCAAGAACAAGGTCAGAGTACTTCTACTTTTACTCAAGAACAAGATCTGAGTACTTCTACTTTTACTCAAGATCTGAGTACTTCTACTTTTACTCAAGTACAAGATCTGAGTACTTCTACTTTTACTCAAGAGCAAGGTCAGAGTACTTCTACTTTTACTCAAGAACAAGGTCAGAGTACTTCTATTTTTACTCAAGATCTGAGTACTTCTACTTTTACTCAAGAACAAGGTCAGAGTACTTCTACTTTTACTCAAGAACAAGGTCAGAGTACTTCTACTTTTACTCAAGAACAAGGTCAGAGTACTTCTACTTTTACTCAAGAACAAGGTCAGAGTACTTCTATTTTTACTCAAGATCTGAGTACTTCTACTTTTACTCAAGTACACGATCTGAGAACTTCTACTTTTACTCAAGATCTGAGTACTTCTACTTTTACTCAAGTACACGATCTGAGTACTTCTACTTTTACTCAAGATCTGAGTACTTCTACTTTTACTCAAGAACAAGGTCAGAGTACTTCTATTTTTACTCAAGATCTGAGTACTTCTACTTTTACTCAAGAACAAGGTCAGAGTACTTCTACTTTTACTCAAGAACAAGGTCAGAGTACTTCTACTTTTACTCAAGAACAAGGTCAGAGTACTTCTACTTTTACTCAAGAACAAGGTCAGAGTACTTCTATTTTTACTCAAGATCTGAGTACTTCTACTTTTACTCAAGTACACGATCTGAGAACTTCTACTTTTACTCAAGATCTGAGTACTTCTACTTTTACTCAAGTACACGATCTGAGTACTTCTACTTTTACTCAAGATCTGAGTACTTCTACTTTTACTCAAGCACCGGATCTGATATAAAATGCAGACATCACTTTAATATGTACGACCTGGTAGAGATGTATTGATCTTGCAGTTGGCGTGATGTATTTCTATTGAGGGTTTCTGAGCTGCTGTAACTAATGATGTTCCATCCTTGACCACAGGATGGCGTACAAACGCAGAGAGGAGACATCCATCTGTGTTACTCTTGATGCTTGAATAAACTTTGAGAAACATCCCAGCTCTCCAGAGGGTCTACTTTCTCCTGTTGCAGCTCATCCCTTACACAGACCCTCAGATTGACTGAAGGGGAAATATGAAGGTTTATTTAAAGCTGGTTATGTGAATAAGTTATTGGGCTTTTCTCTTACCAACTAAGATCTGTTAGAAAGCGTTTTAATTGACTGAATGTATCTAAAAAGTGGACTCATTGACACATGAATACTGCTCTGTCATATCTGTTTACATATAAGTACAAGAGAAGAGAAGCACAGATTCCAATTGAGCTTTTTGAATTAGCTGAGGGTCGATGCAATGCTTATTTAATATAGACTATATGACTAAATGCTGTGAAGTGATAATATCCTTAAGCTGATATGAGTTTACAGATATCAGGATTTACCATATATCAAAGTTAGGTGTCTTAAACTTCTTATATTTTATCTTTGTTGTGTTTTATTTGCTATTTTTGAGATGTTTATATTGCATAATTGTTTATTTCCCACTCTTTTGTATTTCTAATTATGTGCAATACTTAGTTTGACAAGCTGCTGCAATGTAACATGTCCCTCTGTGGGATTAAAGAGCCTTATCCCGTAAACAGCCTGGTTATCGGTGACTTTATTAAAATACAGTTATTAAATCATCTTTTTACCGATGAATTCTGACATGAAACTGTGAATTCAGAATGACAGTTTAAATAAATAACTGATTCCCACAAGACAACAAATTCAGACTTTAAAATCTGACCTTATTCTAAAGTCTGACTTTTGCATTGAAATCATTGCCAGGTATTGCGTGATGTTACCCGGATGTTACCCACTGAGAAGGAGGGGGCGGGTCAGCTGTCAAACCTTAGCGCCGCCCATCGTGCGTCTGACGTCATCGCCCGACGTCAAACGGACGGGACTGTTTGTTCTGGATTTGGGGCGAGGAAGGTCTGCTGAGTGACAGCGACATAAAGAAGGTAAAGCAGCATTTAAAGACCCCCCCGCGACCACCGTAAGGTGTTTAAACAGCGCGAGGACCTGGGGGAACCCCCCAAAACCCTCTGTCGGCAGCGGATTCCCCGTGCTGTCAGTGTGCGCCTCGCTGTACTCGCGGGCCTTCAGCCGGCTCTGTGTTTTACTCTTTAACGTTCAAAGCGAGGCTTGTTGTTGTTGTTGTTGTGTTGTATTGTGTGTCGAGTCCTCCTAACTGTCAATACTAGCGGTTAGGAGGTCGTTCTCATGGCAACGGTGCTGTCAGGAGTAGAGCTAGCAGAGTATCATGCTAGCAGGCTAACGGGCTAGCTGCTGTTTGTTTGTAGCAAAAGCTCCAAAGGAAAGAAGTGCGCCACATGCCGACGGTGATTCTGAGTGGCGGTCAAATGGCGGTACTGCAGCCTCTTCTCCCATTCACTGCGATGAGATAAACAAGATGAACAGTGCATATGTAGATATCAATGAAGAAGGACATACATCTATAGATACACAATATAAACACACAGATCGGCATATAAAGGGATTCTGAAATATATGAGGACATTGGAAACACATTTCTGCTCAATAATAAATAGGTTTCTTTTGAAATGTTACACACAATTTATCCTGCAAACACACTGCAAAGATTTAGACAACAACATCTTCATATAATATAAGATATAACTTATTAATCCCAAAGCGGGACATGCTTTCGATGCAGCAGCATGTAAAACAATCTTTAGAAAGAGACTCCTAATTTTGAACATTTTTACCAAGAAGCATTTGAGAATGAAACCCTCTTTATTCTCATACACACATGTTCACACACACATGTTCATACACACATGGTCACACACACATGTTCATACACACATGGTCACACACACAGTGACATTGGGTTTGTAGGTCTGTCCCTACACACTGAAACACTGCCGGACTTACAGTAGCACTGTTAAAAACATTATGAATATAAAGGCAATTAATTGTGTTATTTACAAACATGAAACACACACACACATACACACACACACACACACACACACACACACACACACACACACACACAAACATGAAACTGCATTTTCATGTATTACCTAATATGTCTACCCCTTATATAAAATATAATACAATGTAGTTGTCCATATATACGCATTGTCCGAAGTGTTTTTGTTTTTTAGCTTTAAGGTTATTTGTATATTTAAATTTGGTGTAAATACTTGTCTTTAGCATCCTTTTTTATGCTGAATTGTTTCTTAAAAATACTTATTTTTATTGCCCTTATATATTTCTT